CGGCCCGGGGCGGACGCGCCTGCTTCTGCGGTAAGGGCGGAGAGAGCCCGGGGCCCTGCCTGGCGCAGCCCCCGCCAGCTCCATTCACCGCCCCGAGGGGCTAGGGGCACCTTTTAAAATTGTATCAGTAAGGACCCGTGAAAATGCCTGGGCTTAAGTTCATTTGTAGGCTATTTCCGGGTCGACGCTTATTTTACGTCCTCAAGTGACCGAAATCCACGCCCTCTATTTAGCCCGTTTTCCTCTAACGTTATACTCCAGCCAACTCCAAAAGCCTTTGAAGTACTCAGCTCCAAAACCATCTTCAAATTCGTCAAGTTTCACTGCGATTAATCAACCGGCACCTACATTGCTTTCATGTTTTTACAGTGGGGTTGGTAGTGCATAACCAGAACAGACTGTCGGATTATCAACATGTTCCTAATCAAGTGAAATAAAAGATTCAGACCTTCTTCCAAAGGGAATTATTGCATATAGCATTTATTATTTTTCCTAATGAAAAAGTTTCCTGTAAGTATGAACAGCTAGCACATGCAGAAATGTGTTTATCACGTTACTCCTGACCCCTTGGGACACAAACAAAACAAGCTCATTTTAAAAGAAAGGACCTTAAGATTTTTAAGAGGTAGGTGAAGAGTCTTGGACTTAAGAGTTTCATATTAAAGGGGCAAAGGAAAAGTCACAGCTGTGAAGAAGATTAACAGTCAATTTAAGCCTGTTATATTATCTATAGGTCACAATCTGGTTTTGCATGACTACTGCAACTTCATGTTAAATACTGCTCATTTCCTATATCAAGCATAATGAAGTTTACCAATACTAGTAGAGAATGGTAGATGAAGGCTTAAGACATTGAACTGGTAGAGCACCCTGCTACTCAGGCTCTTCTCTTTAATAAGGCAACTTCATTCAGGGAACTGAATAAGAAACACTGCAGAGCCACTGGGAAAGTAAGAATCTATCCTTCATGAGTATTTTTTGTAATTAACAACCTGGAATTCCATGCCATAAATATTAACTGTAGCTTGCTCAGCTGCTAGTTAGGAGCAATGATAAGATAAGGAGTAGACCTTCCAAAAAACACTCCAGTAGCCTCTGCTCAGATCCTTACAATACAAAAAAAAAAAAAAAAAAAAAAAAGTACCTTTAAATCAGAATAACCCAGGCAGTCCAAATTACCAAACTGAAAAAAGACCTAGATACGCAAAGAAAGGCTTTAATTTCAGTAATCTCAGTTGTGCTTGAAGGGAATGACAAAAAATGGTAACATAACTGCACCCTCTTCACTTCACAAATGCCCTGTTAGCTCAATATAGGGAACAAGATGCAGTAAAGGGAAAAAAAATGTAATTTCAACTTAGAATTTTGAAGCTAGGAAACCTGCAACATCTGTCTTTCAGAATATGAATATTTAAATATTCTTTATATTTCAGAGTGCTACTCTGACTAAAACCAGGTATCCTTAAAAAGAATAATTAGAGGACTTATCTCAAGCATCTCCGACAAGCTGTCGGTGAAACAAATCCTCTAGAGAATGACCTGCATCCACAAGGATTGAATTAGTCTTTCCACCAATGGCTTTTTAAGACTTCTGTTGTTACAAAAAGCACACAAGCTATTATCCCTCTCCTCTCTGTTCCTTCTGTGCGACTTTTCTGAGGGAGACTAGAATGACTTGAGAATTAAAGTAATCTCCAAAGGCAACAGCTTTTGCTAAGAGCTCTGTTTAAACCAACTTTCTACACCATAAATACTGCATGAATCCATAAGAAACAGACAAACATTTGACCCCGGAAGAAATAAATTTTTCACGAAGAAACTTACTTCTTTGTGACAGATTTAGTTTAGGAAGTGCCCATTCACAATGTGATTCCATTATTTTCAGTTGACTACAGACATTCCAATAGATGACATCAGTGAAGCAGATGTATGACCAGGCACCAATGCCACTCTCTCCTCCCTGTGACACACTTTGAGATCATTTCATAAAAGATTCCATTACCACCAACATGTATTCTAATCTTCAAGTCTGACACAAATTAACTGTTGAAAGGCCTTAACACCTGAGAGCATTTAAGAAATCATGTTACAAACTTGCTGAAACATGCTAACAAACACAGGCTATTTGCTAATTGTGTGCAACTGAGAATGTAGCTGCCCTTTCTCAGTACCAAATTCCTCACAGCAAGAAGTACTGTTCTTCACTTGTTCACTGAAAATAAAGAAAAAATGCTAAACTGCACTATTATGAACCAGGTTACACATTCTAACTAGTTCCAAGCTTTTTGGAATCCAAAATTCTCCATTTTAACATCTCAAAACCTCAAAGACTTCCATCTGCTTCAGTATTAAATTCTTATACATCACTTTCCACGACTTTCCCACAGAATACAGCTTTGCCATTCTATACAGAACGTCAAGAACGTTCATGCAATCTAGAGTCTACTCACATCAGTTTTTACTGATGCTTTCTCTCAAATACCTTTGCCACTTCTGAATGCTTATCCTGTTGCAGAAATCCATTTACAAAATGTCATATCCACACAGAGGCCACCGATCTCTTTGTTATGCACAGTAATAACAAAAGATGACCAACAACTTATTACTACATATATATATAAAAACTAATAAGACCTCCAAATCAAAGGTAAATTAGTGACTCATGAAATTACCTTTTCTTGACAGGGCTCAAACTTCATTCTAGAAACAGGAGTTCTACTTTTAGAAGGAAGTGGCATCAAATGGTGAAAGCTCTATAATGCTATGTCTTACCATAAAGCAATTCAGGTTTTGAAATAGCTTCTATTAAAATATGACATTCCAGCTTTTCATGAAAAATTAAAAATATACTAAATTTTTAATGTATTTTTTTAAAAGTTTGGCAAAAAAGTTACCCATTTGTGCTCAGTAATGTTGGGACCTCTTTGGTTTTTGTACACATCCACCTCACCATTAACTGATGAGCTGTGAAAGGTCAAAGAGGAATAATTCTTGAATACAGCTGTTTCTCAAGCTGCATATCTTCAGGGACAGAAAAACTGTTGTGCTGTATATTCACTCACAAAACTTGTACTAGAGAAATAAACCATTCCATAAACACATGCATTTCCAAAAGGAAAATAAAAAAGTACTGCAAAGTCCTACTACAGCATGAACCGCAGAATCACTCAGCCACCAGGAAAGACAAGAGTCCCATCAGTTAATGATATGACCTATACTGAAAGCTGGCTGCTCCATACAGCCCTATACACATAGCAAACAGGACATACAAAACTACAATCCTTCCACTAAGAATGATTTCACTGAGAAGAATACTTTTTTTTAATTAGGAAAAATTTCAAAATTTGATGATCAGAATACTTACTATCTAGCTTGGGACCCAAAGAATCAGTAAAAATCAGGAGATTTTACAGGTTTGTATGTTCGTACACACTTCACTGTGAAAATACCAGAAGTAAACAGGCTGTAAGTGCCCACTTCACTGACTTGAAACTTTACATTAGTCTGGGTCAGCACAGAAATTGAAGCAGGAGATAAGACAGCCCCAAAGAAACTGTTCACATTTGTGTTCTGTTTTCAGAGCAAGATCCAAACCTGACGAAATGGATGCAAGGCAACTTGAAATGAGCATTGCCTGTTGGAAGAAAAGATCTTCAATATTAATCTCCTTGGAATTAGGACACAGAAGCTACTGTAACAGAATTACCTAGATCTTGAGATGAAAGTCTCTGAACTGCAGACTTAAACTCCCAGAGACACGGGCAATTTGTCCTCATCTGACATGAACATGCTCTCAGAGTCTATACATCTATCATTAGAGACAGTAGATTAATTATTAATTGGTAATAAGTCTTGATGATGAAACTCTCTCTTGACAGCTACTTGTCAGTGTCAATTAGTAATCTGGTTGAATGCAACCTTATTTCTTTTAAATAAGAGAAGTGTGTAACATTAACTTTTAATATAACTGAGAATGGATATTTCTGGCATTAAAACAAAATCATAAGCACAATAAAAACCAAAAGTGAAGACTTAATATATTTGCCACAATATTATATTGCTCAGTTCCTGAATGAATTTATTGCTATGCACCTGTCCTCACATGGAGATGGTAATGATTATCAAAAGATTTTACAAACTTCTACAACATACCAAACAGTGCATTGTCATTGTCCTGATAAGCCTATAAACACTGGTTCTGTTCCAAGAACACTTCTTACAGATTTAAGTTTACTAGCATTGTGGGGAGTGGAAAAAAAAACCACTACCTTTATATCGCTCTCTTTTGTTAATTTAAATTAGTGCTGGTATCATGTGCCAAACTACATTTTAGAGATTGATGTTTCATCTACAAGGATGACACAGGAGCCTAAGGCTCCACATACCTCTGCAAACAATTGCCATTATGGCTAGAATGTCTATTTAACTCCCAAGCTCTACTGAGTATGACCATAGTTCCTAGTGGTGACAACCGATATTTATCAAGGAAGAACTGCAATGAACTCATTTCCTACTGCTAGCTGAGATAGCCTCGATTTACTGAACCAGAATCTAAATTTGTAACTTAAATTGAAAGAGGTCTGATATCTTACTAGTCGTTCAAAGAGTTCAGCTTCTGTTGTGGCTTAGGCTTAAACCCTTTGGCCAGACTGCACTTCTGCATTCTGCAAAATGGACTAAAAGATACCAAAGTTCAAGCTCACTCTTGTGAGGTAAAGAAGTACTACTTATATTCAGTATGTGAACAAAATTAAGGATCTCCACACTTGTGAAAGACTACATTATGTGATTGTTAACAGCCAAACAAATCAAGGTTTCTGTGACAACAAAGAAATGCACTTGACCATTTACAGCAAAACAGATCTACACAATAACAAGTAACTTATGGCCTTGTCCACCTGCAAATGAATTCCTTCAGCAGGTACACACAATATATTGCTCAGTCATAAAAATATATATTATCTCTTTCCTTTAGCAATTAGGTATATAAATATTTTACTGGATAACATGCATCATTTAGATAAAACTATTGCAAGAATATCCTCTGAAAACATAGGGTTCCTTGACATTTAGCAGTATAAAATGATTATATAAACATAGCTATTAAAGTCAAGACAAACCAATACAGCAGTAAGCAGTCCATTGCGTGCTAGTCCAAAGAAATTAAGCACCTTTTACAACAGGTTATATAGAATGCATTCTCTCTGTGTATATTCTAAGTAGAGCAAATATAGCATCATTCCATCTGCATATTCTTCATTCTTGTTTGGACTCCAAACTTACTGTTCACTTTTCTGTTCTTGTTTTCCATTCAGCTCTTGGTCAACTCTGCTTAGCAAAGAAAGAAGTAAAATTAAAACTACATTAAGTAGTAGTTTAGTGTGATAGCTCATATATTAAGCAAAACCTATTAATCTTAGCAGGAAAACACAAAGCTTTTACAGGAAAACACAAAGCTTTTACATAAAAAAAGTTTTAGTAAGTAAATATTAAGATTTTTATTGAATGCAGTCATAACAATGCTTTTTTAAAAAAATTGCCTACCTCCCCCTAGAAATGGAAATTGTTAAGAAGCCATTTAAATAACTATAGCATTTGAAAGGAAGCTTTTGAAAAGCGCAAGCGAAGTTTGACTACAGAGGAAAAAAAGCAAGTTCTGTGCTTATTACTGAATGCAAGCAGAAATACAAGCTTACTGGTAACACGGCAATACCAACAAGCATTACTACTTTGATGAATTCATACACTGCAGAATAAGCACAGAATTACCTTCTTTATTACAGTAATTAAGCCAAGAAGGTAACAGCATGAGATGAATCAACAAAAGTTCAGTGGCTCCTTAACTGCAATACTTCTCCCATTAAGTTCTAAGACTTGCAATTACCCATGAATTCACCATGTGCTGCTACAACTTCGTGCCTTTGGTTTTTTTAATATCTGCCTTGGGACTAGGACTTGAGACCTATCCACTCTCTCAAACCAGCCAGTTTTTCAAAATGATAAAAACAATGACAGCTCTTCTAGGCCATAAACCTATAAGTACAGGAGGCGAGTTTGTTTTTTTTTGTTCGTTTGGGTTTTTTTGGTTGGTTGGTTTTGTGTTGTGTTGTTTTGTTTTTTTTTTTAGCTCTAAGAACAGAACCTAGTACATAAGGATCCTATAAGTCTGCAGCAGTGTTGTCTAGAAGCAACAGTCCTAGTTGAATACCTGTCCACCTTCACAGTACACAGCTGCAACTCATCTCTGTCTCCACTGCAGTACCTTAAAGCATCTTTTGACATGGCTTGTAGGACTAATCACAGAATACATTAAGAAAAAAAGGTAAGCTAAGGCAAAGAAGCTATGCATAAACAGAGCTGACAGTATAAATATACAGAAGTTTATCATACTCTAGCTTCCAAAGTGACTCAACACATAGCCAAAGAATTCCTACTGCCACCCTCAACAAATTTAGTAACTGAACTTCTCCTTTCCCCCTGTTATAATAAATAATGCCTTTCAATTGGATTAAAATGGCAGTATCTAATAGGGCTTGTGATCTCTTCTCTATACCTAAGTTTCACTTAGAAACACTACTTCTCACAAAAGACCTTGTTGTACTGGAGATTTTTACAAGTTTTTGTATTACTGTTTGAATGTCTCAGGTCTACATCCAGAATACAATGGGCCTCATAATAGAATTGGGCCAAATCATGCATGCTGGGGAAAAAAAAAAAACCTCAAGCAGAACTGTTGTTTCATAGGTACTGAAAGGGCTTGCTTCTTGAATTTGACAGGTTTAGTACTTGAGGTTACACACTGCAAAGTTACCACTTAATTGGAATAATCCCCAGAGAACATTCAACTCTTGTCACCAGCTTTCAAAAAGAATTTAGATCCTTTTAAGTTCTCAGTCTTCCTTCTCTATGTCCATTACACAACTTAGACGATAAGCCTTGTTCAAAAGTTAGGCACACACAGGAAGAGTAATAAAAAAAGCAAAGTTAGTAGCAAAACCTTTGAGTACATTTGTTAGTCAGAGTGAAAAAACAATGATGTATCCATTCAAAAAATTTCAGCTGCTGGAATAGCTTGAATAGTTAGCAGAAAACTGAAAATTAACAAAATGAAAAAACACTGTTTATTAGCAAGGAACACAGACACTGCAAATAGAAACAGCACTAAATATAACAATTTAGATTGCATCTGTGCAAGTTAATAACTAAAAGGTAGTAAACACCAAAAATACAAGATTCAGTACTAGAACTTCTTCCAGAGTAGCATTTCTGCTGATGCATAGCTACAGCTTAGCACCTAAAACCAGCTCTTCCTTCAGACATCACTTACTAGCAGTGAAACTTGATTTAATCGATTAATGCAGAAGCATTACTTTTGCCTCTTGATGCAGCTGAGAACCCTTGTATCCTCTTCAAAGTGAGCATCTCACATAACAGAGTAACACAGAGTAACACAGACTATGCACAAATATGGGTTTGAACATCCCAGGTGAGTTCTTCTAGATGATATACTGTACTAGCAGGCAGTACAGTTACTTCCGTGCATAAAAATTTAGTCACTAGTGCATGTTTATATTTACAAATGCTTATTCCTTTATGCAAGCCAATCAACTGGGAGTTAGTTGCAGTGCAAATCATATCCTCTAGGTGCAATCCTTATCAAAATATGAATATACCTTTTCTGTTTCTTTCTAAATTTTTCTTCTTCATACCTTGGTGAGGAAAAGCTTGATTTCAGTAAATATAATATATGACGGCCTAATTCAACAGAAGCTGCAAACTGGTATTAGTGGCAATAGTCTGAAGAAGCATACCGAGTTTTGAAACTGATACAACTAAGAAAAAAATTGTACCTCTAGCATCTATAAGTATTAAACAAGAAACATTAAGACTTAGTTACTATGACATGTCAATTCAGTACAACTTTTCATACAGTATTAACCATCATCAGTAAAATTTGAAGTCTATATTCATAACAGTTTAAAAGCAGATATAATCCTCCACAGAAGTCCAAGAATAACTGTAAGCCAAAGTTCAGCCTTCACAGAATAGTTAAATGGTTCATCAATACAGAAAGAAATATTCTGAAACTTGGAATGACAGTATAAATATTCCTAACAATTTTCAACAGCCCAAGATAAAAGACATTCAAAAGATAGCACAGGGCTGCTTTAGTGTTGTCACATCATTTCACCCCACCCCAAGCATACTGCCTCTATTTCATCAAGTTACATTCTGCACTTGATAGCAGCTGAACTGCAATAACCAGCAATTTGCAGAGGTGGGGGACATCTCTGGGTTTATCCAACACAGGTGTGCCTTTCTGTCCACACAGTGAGACTACACCATCTTTCCGTATGGAGTTACCAGTCTGTGATGAACTAGAGTATAAAATAAAGTATTTTGGTTATCAGCACTCAAGTTTGATTTCTACTCTACTACTGCACCCATAAATGCTATTGACATAAGTAACATCATCATACTTGAGAGCAGAGTTATGTTCATCTTAAAACAAATCTTTGTATCTGGAGGGAAGGAAATAGAAAACCAAGGAAACTGATGTTGCCTTCAACTCTTCAAAGTACTTTTAGAACTGTTACAAGTAGGAATTCAGCATTTTTCCACCATAGTTGTTCTTTTAAATGAAATCCTAACCCAAGTGACACTTCACTACTTAACTGGTTCCACATTTCAGCACGAACACAGAAGATACTATAAATAACTTCAGTATCAATGTGCCCAGAATTTCTCACTGACAAGCCAGTTTAGTACACTAAGGGGTAGAACAACTAGAATACGGCCTCATCTCTAGAAGATTTAATTCACACGCCATAACTTGGTAATTACATAAGGCTCTACCTGCTAAAACCCCTTTACGTAAGCATTGACTGTCCACGCTACGGCATACCAAACTGTAGTTAGCAATGTAGTCAAACATGGGTACTCAGAGATGGCAATGGCCTGAGCTAAATTATATTAAATGTAACATTCAAACCAATCACTGAATACCATATATACCAGTTCTAAAACATAATCGGCGTAGAACATGCTTGAATAACACAACGTACTGTTTTATGCATTCTGGGATGCCAACGTATTCCATGGGGATGAGTTCAGCTAGTTCTGCCAGGGTAAAGACATACCTAATTTTTTGGCTGAATTTTGAGCTGTGGAAGAACAAATGCAGGGTACAGTTACAACTTAAAAGTTTTTCAGTATATCAATATTAAAACAGTTCTTGAAGTTGAAAGTAAACAGTTGTTAGGATTAAAAAAAAAAGCTTCCAGAGTATTACCTAATAAAAGGTTTTGTAATGGCCAGAAGTGTTCTGATGAACCAAGAAGGATGAACTATGATTAACGATTTCAGATTTTTCCTTAACCTGAAGAATTCAAACAGCAGATATAATTACTAGAATAAAAAGGCATCATGACATCAGGTGTTTTAATATATAAAAGGTATCAGTTTGGAAGCACAACTGTCACATAAATCTAATATTCTGACTTTCCATTATTAGAAATTACCATCTGCCAGAAGGAAGAAAGGCCACAACTGCATAGTCAAAATTTAAGATATAGTATCAATTTGACAACAATGACAAGGAAATATTCCAAAGATGTTTCTTTGAATCTTTCTACACAACAAATGATAAAATTATCTTATCATATAGATACATGTAGTGTTAGGGATATTCTACATGGTAACAGTATTCAGTATCCCAATACTACTGTTTTCACTAGCAGCAAAAAATCAGGCATGCCTGTAGCATTGTTCAACGCTGTCTAGCTTAGGAAGAGGTTTTCAATACACTAAGCAGTTTGCTTAATTAAATCTTAACTAACAGGTTCCAGACACAACAATAAACAGCAGGTTTTCCTACATATGTATATCACTGAGCATGTGAATATATTAAGAAAACACTGCAGAGCTTCCTACCTTCTGTCGATTTGATGGTAACACTTCCTAAGCCAGCCTAAACTTGGCATTTTTCTCCGTGTTGTTGCACCATTCAAGTAAACTATCATATAGTTCTCTGCTACTAACAGCTCTAAAGTGCCAATTACATACCTGCAGAAACAAAGAAAAATTTCAAGTGATGATCTGTGGAAATGAATTCCTAGTAGTGCTCAAACGTATTTAAAAAATAGAGAGCTGGCAACAGTGTTGAGCAACATCTAATAATTTCTTTCCTTCCCTTGGAAGGAAACCTACTGAAAGTTAGTTGTCTGTTACCTTTACCTCATCTGAAAGGTAAAACACTTCATTAAAAAAGAGAGACAACTAATTTCCCTTATATTAAAATCTAAATTTCACAACACAGAATTAAGGTAGTATTCAAATGCAGATGATTACTTACTTAAATAGATTGTCCATTAGGTATCTGTAGTTAGGCTGGCTGCTTTCAGGCATAAAGCAAACAGCAAACACAACAATAGCATTTAACCCATCACCATAATAACCTGAAAACAAAGAAAAAAGCACTAGTGACAAAGATGAGTATATGCTGACTATGTTTACACAGTCAAGCACATTAAGGTAAATAATGAAAAAGCTTACTGAAAGAGATTTCCAAATATCTATTCTCTATGGACAGATTCACAGAGTTACTGAATACCTCAATTTCTTTTTCAAGTTTGTCTACTTCTAAAGAAATAGCCGAGGCTGACGTAAATCAGAATGCTGTACCTACAATCAACATCTCAGTAATTTAAAAAAAGTTTTATATAGTCAACTATTCTTCCAACTTAAACTCCACAGAGAAGAGTGTTAAATTGATTTATGCCTTAGTAGATCTACAGTTAATGTTTTCAAAACTTTTAAAATTAAAAAATTATACCAGTGGCACTGACACTGTAGAACAGATAAGTACATCTTATTACATATGTGCATGGTGATAGCTTCATCTGAACGTGTCCACATTTCAGAACTCCAGTTTAATAGGGGAAAAAATAAATGAACCATATGCCTTAGTTCTACAACAAATGAATCATCACACAAATCTTTATGCCCAAAACTCTTCCTGTGTCACCCGAACTCAGCTGAAAGAAGTAGTTTCTGTACTGTTCCACATAGTACCTCATTAATCCTTACCCCCATGACTGATAACTTTTTTATATGGTTCAATTGCCTTCATGTCCACCCTGTGATCTTGTTCTCCAATCCTAAACATTCTCCAGCGTCGACCATCATCCTTCTCCTCTTCTGCAGTATATTCAGTAAGTGATCCTTTCCTAATTACATCAGTAGTTTTTGGTTTTGGAAGATCATCTGCCAAAGTTTAAACACGTTCAAGATCCATTATGAATACTATGTATAGTGACAATCAATAAGGACACAGGTTAACCACTTTGCTATCTAATCTATTTTAATATTCTTTAGCCAGTCAGACATATCCACTTAGTTTCTTCAGTCATTAGGACCTCATAACTGTCATAGATGTTATCAAAATACTGTTGGAAGTTATTTATTGACCAAAATTGTGTTAAAGGTTTTATTTTATTGTGTTTATTGTTAACTTTAAAAAAAACCCAAACATGACCAACATGCATTCATGTAAGAAGCAAATTTAATTGTAAGCTTTCAGAACACAGACCTTGATGAATCTCATCCAAATAGACAAAGTGGTTAACTCCCGTGATAATTACGCAGGTTGCTTGATCACAGATTTACATAAAAGCATGATTTAAAACATTGACAAGCAGACATGCAGGCAAATCTATTAGAAATTAAGTCTAATTCACAGGTGTGCAATCAATATACATAAAATTTATGCTGACAGCAATCTGTAGAACAATTTGCTCCAATTAAATTATGATTCTTGACTTTGTTGCATAGACCTTACCCAAGCGAGAAAAACCTACTGCAAGTTAGTTGTCTGTTCCCAAGACAAAGCTGTTAATTGAAACTATCCTTCCAGGAAAATGAAGGCAGCAGCATTAAAGGAAGAAAAGACAGAAACCCTTTTCAGCCAGTTTTTAAAAAAAAAAAAAAACAACAAATATCCGGAACATTTCCTTTGCATCATTCCAAAATTAACACTGAACACCAATTCGTCTTCACTAAAATGATGAAGATGCGTCTTTTACACAGGTAAACCCACAGTCCCCGTTATGAAACCTTCACCTGCAGTACATTTTCAGCTATTAAAAAAACCCCGCCTTATTCTAAAGAGTTTCTTTATCCACTTATAAGCTATCTTGAAATGAAGAACAACTAGTGTTTCATATGTAACAGTGAAAAGAAAGCTTCCCATTTACTCAGAAATTAAATTCTTTTATCTCCAGAAAAAGTAATTAAAAGAATTTACCTGTTTAGAAACATTAACTCATGAAGTTCACAGAAGTTAAAGACTCCAACTGTTTGAACAATGCAACAGTTCTTAGCTTATGTAAAAGGGCCTTAAAACGTAATTCAACTGCAAGTTTAAAACTTGTGCTTTAACTCCTACACAGAACATTTTTACCTCAAATATAATCTGTTAGAATCTGCAAGTTTTGTCTGTAAGAATAAGATGAAGCATCTATTCTTTTCTTTAAAATAAGCTCATTACTAGTGCGTTTATAGCTAAGTTAACTCCCTGTCAAGTTGTTTCAGAATTCCTTGACACAAAAATAGAGGCTCTTCTACACCTCCAGTCTATCTAGAAAGCATATGAACTCTACAGGCACTTAACTTTTGCCATTCTCACCAAAGTAAGATACAAGATCAGGTGTTACCAGATCTTAGAAATTCCATTCAGTCCTCCTTAAATCCAAAGGTTTGCAGTTCATCAACCTCTGGCTAGGTAACCTATAATCTATATCCCTTTACATGGTTCACCTCTATTTAAATCTGATCTATAACACATGTAAAACACCTTTAATGTTCCTCCCCCCAACAGCTGGTTATTAAAAACATACTACAACAGAGGACTTTCTGTAACTTCAGGTCTTACAGGTGTTTAATGACATACACCTAAGTTTATTTGGAGTTACAGCTATTAAGTTGCCTGTTTACTAATCATTTCAGGTTTTACTCATTAAAAATATACTGCACCTATTTCCAGTTTCTTATCTAATCATACCCTTTGTATTTTTCCTCCTGCAAAACTGAGTCAGTTATTTCTCACCTGAAAAACTGTTGACCTGCACATAAGAAAGCAAAAATATTTTAGGCCATCAGACAAAAATAACAAAATACTTACCTTCCCATTCAAACTCGTTGCTGTTTTCTGAAGGAGTATCTAAATCATCCAAATCAATCTCTCCACTCTCATCCAAGTCGTCAGACAAAACAGATTCTTCACTGTGATCCAAAGTTAAACTAATATCTGAAGCTATTAGTTTCTTCTTCACTTTGGTTCCATTAACCTCTGTATTTTGAAAAGCAAATTATTTTAAAAGCTAAAGCAAGCTTAGGTAAGCATATTAACAATACAGAAGAGCATAGTGCTTTCTCAGAATGCAGTATAAGTTAATGCCCATAATTTAGGCAAAGTATCTTTGGAATAAGAATTAAACACAAGGTGAAAAGAACAGCACTTGGAGGTCAAAGTTCTCAAGTCCTCAAGACCTTAAGTTTACCTGATTGCACAAACACTATGCTCACAGCAGTAATCACCATATTCTCTACAGCAGAAAAACCTGAAGTGCTGCCACCACCCAAGCAACTATTTACCCATGCTAGCTACAGCAAAGCATACCAGTTCTGGATATCATACTATGTAGGTCTTGTAAGTAATGCACTAGATTAATGTCCCTAGTCCTTACTGGGTACAGGTAACATCTTTGATGAAATAAAACAAGATCAAAAACAAAAAAAGGAGGTTGGCAGACAACAGCGAGGTCAGAAAATTAAAGAAACTATAGAAACTATTAGGTGAATACACAGGATGTTTTGGGTCACAAGGTAAATACCTGTGCAATTTAGACAGCAGTTGAAGGCACTGCTTTCAAATAAAAAAGAGAAGACTGACCCAGCACTGGAAATTCCACAACTAAAGCAGCCAGACAAGAGCAAAAAAAAAAAAAAAAAAAAACAAACCAACCCCAAACCCCCCCCCACTACACAGTATTATTTCCCCTTCTGACTATTCAGACAGGCAATGTTCTTAAAAGACTACAAGGGTCTGAAATTTGGAGTGAAACTAAGGCAGGCCATAACTGATGCACAGAAACCTAATAATGAATGAAGATTTTAAAAGAGGTCAAGAAGTGACCTTTTTATTTCTATACAAGAGGTTTATAATAACCTTCACATACAAATGTCATTTAGAATGCTGCTTCCCCAAGCCTGACTCAAAACCCCAAACCACCAACAAAACAAAAATCTAAAAAAAAAAAAAAAATCCCAAAAAACACCCTAAAGCAAAATGGAGCTTTAATACAGCCACCTAAGTAGGAACCAGTCAGCTTGACTGGAGTGAAATGTTCTTACCAGCTTGACTTTCTGTTCCAGCTGCAGCCAATGCATCTGACTCAACAGGATCATCCTCTGGCAGGGGCCTGGTGCACAAAGTAGCATCAATCACTACAAAAACTTTTCTTTAAATAGCCAGTTAAATACCAAATATTTAGACTTATACTCTGTTAAACACTGTAGGGCAGTGCTGCACTGAATTTAGTACTGCATTAAATTTTTTAAGTTCAGGCTTTCAGTAAACAAAGAAACAAAGCAGCAGAAAATTCCTTCACAGCATGGAAATGATTGTGTATTCGTAGAATCACCAAGGCTGGAAAGACCCTCTAGGATCATCATGTCCAACCTTCCTCCCAGCATTTCCCTAACCACTAGACCATAGCCTCAAGTGCTACAACTACTTGCTTTTTGAACACCTCCAGGGACAATAACTCCACCACCTCCCTGGGCAGCCCATTCCAGTGCCTCACCAGTCTCTCAGTGAAGAAATTCTTCCTAATATCCAATTGAAACCTCCCCTTGTACAACTTCAGGCCATTTCCTTTCATCCTTCCGTTAATAATTTGAGAGAAGAGACCAACACCAGCCTCACTACACTGGTTGCTACTACTGTGTCATCCGTAAGAAAGCTTGCCATCTTCTCGGCTAAGACAATTTGACATTAAACACATTACAGATTAGTTCAGTCCTGTTATTACAGAATACCTCTTAAGTCACTTGTTTTAGTTTCTTGGCAGGCCCAAGCATCACTAGCACTCTTAACTGTTAAAACCTTTGCTCAGATATATTGCTTTATGAAGTATTGACACCTTCAGAATGTCAACGATACACAAACAAAACAGTTGCAAAAGATTATCACAGAAAACAAAGCAAAACTTACCAATTTTCACCTCAGTAAAACCAGACACTTAACAGCAGCATTCCTGTGTTACTTGACTTAAACATGAACATAAAGCAAAACCTTTCCAGACCACAATGAAATATGCCACAAAACCTTTTCAAGACTACTATATTAGTGGATGTCACTTCAAGATTGAGTGTCAGCTCACCAGAAGATAGAGCTGGCTCATTCTGGATGTTATGCATTTGATTAGAATTACTTTTACAAAAAGAATTAAAAACCTTGGAAAATCTTCATCTTGCCATTCCTCCTTAAACTCAACACCTTCCATTCTCCAGCCAACTTGAACTGCTAATAGAGACTCCTGATGAGCCAGAACCCCTTGTCTTCAGGGCAGCGGGCTGAAGAGGAACTACAGGAACAAAACAGAAGGTGCTAGTTTAATACTATTGTAATTTCCATACTTTCAACACATACTTTCACTTACCACCAAGTTGAGGTACTATGCAGAACAAAATCCCCAAGCCAGGGAGGAATTTATGATTTTTTTTTTTCCTCCACAAGCAGTTTTTGCTTACAGAATATTTTATCATATGATAATTTAGGCTGGAAGGGAATCTCATGTAGTCCAGTGCCCTGTTCAAACGGGATCAACCTCTCAGATAAAATCAAGGCCCTGAGCAACCTGATTTAGGATTTCCTCAGTTCACTCCAAACTGTAAGAAACCTGACAGCTCTCTAGATTTTATAGGAAATATTGAGCAAGTATATATTTTGAGAAAAAAAACAAACACATGGTCAGCTCTCAAATACAACCCAGTTCTTAAGAACAAAACCCGCACAGAATTTAGAGATAACGATTTCAAGAAAGTGTTTTCAAAGAACTCACCCTGTGATATACAAGACAAGCTGTGTTTTTTCAGGCTCATCCATCACCAGCAACAAGGAATCCCCAACAATGGAACAGAATAAACCATTTTGCTGACATACGATTCAAAGCCAGTTGAAGCTCTTTGGCTGTGTTGCCTCTAAAGACTGCAAGGAACAAGTAAACTTATCAGTGCAGACATTAAGAAAAATCAACACTAATCAAAACAGGAAATGGTATTTTAAAATGAAAGTAATCAACAGAACACCAAGAAGTACAAAGTTTGAAAGCAATTGTACTGCTAATTAAACCATGGAGACAATTTATTTTCTACATGGCTAAAACCAAAATAAGTTGTACTTACTGTTCTGTACAATTGCTTTTCACAACAAATCTCAATCGCTCTTTTCCTGGCTTGGTTACAGCCACAAACTGATTTTAAAATGCCCCGCAGTGCTTAAAACTACACTACACAGATTAAGAAAGTTAAAAAAACTGATTTTGTAAAACTGCAGTACCAGAAAGTAGTTAAATGCTAAGAATTTAAGCATATCTTACTGATATTTCCCTGGTTCCCTCACTCAGAAAGCACAAATCAAATTTCTGGAAGGGAGCAACCCAGCTCCTCTTAAGTCAGCCTCCCCTTGTTTGAATTGGTCAGAGCCAGCACTGCTCAGCTGCTGGCAGTATGTGCCTGTGCACGCAGTCTCCAAGAAGCTGACCTCAGCAATTGCCCTTACAGCTCACCCTCTTTTGATTTGTCCTTTTTGGCTATACATGCTGTTTAAGAGTAGTTTCTTGCTGCTTGAATCATATGACACTCCTCATGAAATGTACTCTCTTCCATTAAGATCATATTCTCATCATACATTTTCTCCTGGGTACTAACCTGCTGAGTGTTCGCAACAATTAATTTTAAGTATTTTTTTTGGGATAAGACCTTATTTTGATCAGTAGTAACAGTGCCTATGTGCAGAGCTCTTTATGCACTTATTTCAGGACACTGGGATGAAGCATCAGAAGTTTCACAAGGAACTCTATACAGTCAAGAGAATACAGCAATTACAATCGGCACAGAACAGACCTTATGATGCAAATAAACTGTAAAGAAACAGACTATAAACAAACAGGCACTAAACCTAAAGGAAAATCTGAACTGATTATACTATTCTTAAGGGACAGATGAAGAAATGGAGAAAGCTGATTGTAAAAACCCATCACCACAAACCAACCCTACCACTGTGGCTATGAGATGCTACTCTCAAACTTGCCTGTACTGCGTTCAAAATACAGTTCCCACAAGACAGTTTAAAGCAGGAGTTTGTTCTGAGACTTGAACAGTTTCCTCCTCACACTTCTGAAGAATACCAAATACCAAGTAACATCCATTTTAAAAGTACAGCATTTCAGTGCAGAACCAACTCCTGTTTGCATGGATTTCACTACATTGAGAGAAATTTGATACACTGAGACAGGGACAGTTTAGAAGTCACTCATGCTGTAATCTAAATTTAAGCCACTTGTACAAAACACTTCTCATGTTACTCAACAGAATTCCCCATCTGCAACCTCACATTAAGGTAGATTTGAAAGCAATCAAATGCTAAATACCACATAGTAAAATTGCAAAGAACTTACAAGGCAAGTTCCAAGTTCAACATCAGATCAACTTGAATTCAGGTTTTCAGCATCCTACTTAATATACAGATTGAGCAGATGTTTTGGACTTCTGAGGAAGGGCCGTTTACAAGGGCATGTAGTGACAGGATGAGGGGCAATGGCTTGAAACTCGAGCAGGGGAGATTTAGATTAGACATTAGGAAAAGTCTTTATTATGAGGGTGGTGAAACACTAGAACAGGCTGCCCAGAGAGGTGGTGGAGGCCTCATCCCTACAGACATTCGAGGGGAGTCTTGATGGGGCTCTGAGCAACCTGCTCTAGTTGGGGATGTCCCTGCTCACTGCAGGTGGGTTGGACTAGATGACCTTTTGGGGTCCCTTCCAATTCAAAGCATTCTATGATCTATGACTTAAAGTCTCATGTGCAAAAGCACTATCATTAGTCAGCTACAAGAATGAGAAATTAAGGAGGAAGGGTAATTTCAAGAAAGTTAGAGAAGTGCTGACTTCAAAGTTAACTACTGAGTAATTTTACATTACTACTACAAATGCTTACAAAGCAGGGAAAAAAAAAATAACTGGTTCTAAAGCACAGCTTAAAATAGTCTTTCTAAAGCTGCTGACGTGTTCCATTTTTACTATGCCAAAGTATCTTTTCAATTTAGCTGTTAATCAAAGATCTAAAAGCTTAACCTGAAAAACGTAGTATACTGTAATAATGCAAGTATTTAAGTCATGTAGAAGAAAAGCAATTACTTTCTACCTGATCCTAACATGTTTCATGTCCAACTTCTCTAAGAAGTCACAGTTTCTGAGAACAGCAAGCCTGATCATTTGTACTCCCCATTCACTGCTGTGTGCTTTCCATTTTACTTAAAGAAATGGAACTGGAAGATTGGGGGCTATTAAAAAAAAAAAAATCTCAATGCAGGATTGCCATGTGCTTCTGCTTTCTTACTGGAACCACTGGAACCCAGTACTCGGCGGTTTTATATGTTTAAGTATCTCAACAGATAAGTTAGGGACATTACAAAACCAGAAGTACCACAAGGGGACACATCAGTGAACCCACTACTCTTCCACTACAGCTCATGAATGGATTCCCTCTTGCAGAAGATCAGGTTAAATCAAGGTTTTTTTCAAATGTCAGAGTTCTAATCCTTTTTCCTGGAAGCAGAGAGAGGTTTCATAGTTCTCTCATTAATACTGAGCAGGCTTAGTTGGTAGGTGCTGGAATACCAAATGCAACAGTATTATGAAGCCTATTAGAAATTGCCATTTTTAAAAATTTTAGTTTACTTTAAAAAGAAGAGTCTCTGTTTAGCTGTATCAGGGACGTATACTTAAGACAGATTAAAAATAACAATGCATGAGATAATTTTCTTCATTAAGTTAAAGAGCCCTTGCAAAAAGTTATGTTTTCATCCTTGAGTTCTCAAAATCCACAAATAAGTAGCAGTTACATGCTTACACAGTCCAGCCAACACAAAGATCTATGTTCAATCGTTGATCAGCACCTCAGCAGTTGAAGTAGAATAAATACAAAGTTTGTTTTGCAAACCAAGTGCAATGAGAGCACTATTGAACTACGCACCTGATCAGCAAATACTAGCATGGCTCTATACGTCTCAGAAAGTCAATTTCAAAAACATGATGGCCTGATTTTTTTCTACATTTCACCAGAAACATTATCTGAGTGTTAGTTCAGTGAATTACAGGTTACAGGCGTTAAGGAGGCATCTCTAAAGAGTATTTTTAGACATTTGATTTTACAGCAAACAAGAGTAAGGAACAGGGATATTTCTGGGTACACACATCCATGCTCACTGTAAGGTATAAGTGTTCTTATAACCCCATTCGCTTTTAGAACGTGAACACACTAGCCATAACCCTAGGAAACATTTCCCAGATGTGAAGACAGACATCCAAAATTTATCACTCGCAAGTCTGCATAATGAAGGGATGTAACAAGTCAATTCTTCATCAGTCAGCTACAAAAGAAGACTTTTGAAAACACTCTTGCTTTTGTCTTTGAGGATACTACTTTAAACTGCACATTCAGAGCAATAACAGAGCCTGCATTTCTGAGTCACCGAGACTGACTGAAAGCCAAATACTAGCTTGTCAGACAACAGTCAAAAAGATTGCACCCTGCCTAAATACAATCAATAGTCCTTTTAAATATACATATAAATATAAATAATCAGCTACCACTTCGTGTACTATGTTAGTGGCTGGAAATAAGGAGGAATTAAAATAAAAGGCACTAAAACGCCACTCGAATCTCCACGACCTAACTCTGTATTCGGTATTTGCCAACCTCCACGGGCAAAAGGTGTTCCACTCGTCCACCTCGCCCACCATTCGGCCACATAAGTGAAAGAGTCAAAGAGAGTCCCCGTCGCTGAAGACAACCCCTCAGGCACGCTAGCGAGCGCAGGGCTGAGATCCGCGGTGTTCCGGTGTGAGCGGCGACCTGCCGGCGCAGGGA